CGCCATGCAGACAGGAGATTCAGTTCGGCAATTTTGAAAGCAAACTCATGACATCTATGATAGATTATTAAAATTCAGTGATAATTCAACCGGAAACCTGAAATTTAGGAATATATGCAAGATCTTATTTTTGAAGGGGAGAGTAGCTTGCCACATACAACCTGGGCAGCCGGGGGCCCTAAATAGCCCTGGGCGACACCTCCGATGGCAGAAAGCCAGTGTCCTCCTGCCTTCTTTGATTTAGCACCTCCATCCCGTCTCAATATTAGCTCATTCAGTTTCTTCAGGAACAGACTTCAGGCATCAGCGGGAACAGCTAGCCTCCCCCGGATGCAGCTGAGTGCTCTGCTTCCAGACGTGAACGATCCTGGCATGTCTCAGCAAACAAACCCGAACCAAATGGGTCCTAGCCTTGAATCATATTCCACTGGACTGGCACTCAGAAAAGCAGAAGAGATTACCGTATTTCATCAGTTCTAAGGAGAACATTTTAATCTTTCAGACTGGACTGTGTCTGTCCATCAGTGCATGTCACTGTTTAGTTGGAAGTATTTTTCTCCTCAGTGATACGCACAGTGATGTTGCATCACATGACTGATGGCATCTGGGAGTCTATGAGGTACAATTACTAAGGCAATCCTAGCAGTCAGGTCCTATTGGACCCTAGGCCCTCCGTGTGTATATATATGTATATTTTTTACCATTAATCTCTTCTCTTCCCTAAAATATAAGTTCCATGGGGGAAGAATTTCCATCTGTGGGACCTTGGGCAAGCTACTGAACTTTAATGAGCCTCTGTTGTCTCCTCAGGCAAATAAGGAACAGTACCTGCTTCACAGTATTATAATGAAGGGAGGGAATGCACACAAAGTAAATAGCACAATGCCCTAAAAACATGTACGGGCTCAGAGGAAGGTTGCAGAGGAAGGACCAATCCCACAGCTCATTTCTCCTTTCCGTGCCTAGAAGCTGAAAGGGGCCCAAGAGGCCCGCTGGGCAGTCTCTGTAATCTACTATTGATTACATAGTAGATTACTATTGATTACTCTCTGATCATTTATTTGGTTCTGTTAATTCAATATATTGAATTCTGGGGGCAGCACATGCTCTGAAGCTCTGTCAGTGCCGCACTGACACACAGCACACGGTCCACTTCACATCCTCCTGGAGCACATGAGAGCTTGCTGGAAAACCAGCCACATGGCCTATAACAAATAACTTAATGTGGCAATAATGACTGAGCAGACAGCTGTCTCCTCAGTCTCTCTGCTGAGGGGCAAAGGCAGCCTGAGAGCCACTGGAGCTGAGGAGCCTGGAGCGCCCTTCTGCAAGGAGCAGAGACCAGGAGGAACTCAGTGACATCCTGACTGGGACCTGGGGTCCAGCCACACTGGCAGCAGAGTCTGATATTCTGGGAAACCGTCACCTGGTCCTTTTCTCACCATCTAAGTTCTCCAGTCTCCTCAGAGAGACATCTTTGTCCTCCCCAATTATGGGACAGTCTGTAGTCACCATGTGCAAAGTGCTCCGCTTTGTCCAATGGGTCATAAAGACTTCCAGGAGGCAGAACTTGTGCTACTTAGACGATCTTCCCCTCTGGCCGGGAAACCACACGGATGATCTCTGCAGGCCTGCAGTTTGTACCTTCCTTTGCAGGGCTGGGGGGTGGGGGGGTCACTGGAGCGGGCTACTGTCAGGGGCCTCTGCCGGTCAGCAGGACCAGGGCCTCTAAAGGCTGGAGCTTCTCCGAACGCCAACCTCCTCATTCCTCCTAAAGGAAGGGGAGCCAGAGAAGGCAGCTTCTGGATGGTTACAGAAGGGGCCAGTTTCATGATAATCAGAGCCACTGGGCCCACCCTGTTCACATGCTTTTAGAACATGAAATGGGACCCGTTATCATGACCTGTCTATTATTCTTAATGAAAGGGATTCTGGCTACTGAAAACAGAGAAATAAAAATTGTGGCAAACCTGGGTTTGAGTTCTCAATTTGGCTCTTATTCACCTGGATGAATTATTTTCTCTTTTGATCCACACACAGGTTTCTTATCAACAGGGCTGTTCTGAGTATCAAATAACATAAAATAAATAAAAGCACCCAGCTTCCAGGCTAGCACACAGCAAACACTCAACGGACAGCAGTTATTTTCATTATAATTAATTCATTGTACTGCACATTTGTGTGAGGCCCAGTGCTATCTTCTAGATATATTTCCAGTACCAAAGATGATGCTTGGTACAGGACTGACTTTAAAGCAAATTATTTCCATCTGATACCTCTGGTATAGGCGCTGCACTAAAAAAAACATCATTTTATCTGCCACAAAGCAGACACTCCATAAAAATGTGCTAAATGAGTGCTTACCATATAAAAGTATTCTATTTTTTAACCATATAAAATCCACCATTTTAACAATTTTAAAAACGTATAGCTCAATGGTATGTGTTACAGGCTCCATGAGGTATAACCATGGACATCTGATTCTGGCCTATGTTTATCACCCCAACAAGAAAACCCGTACCCACTAAGCAATCACTTCCCATCCCTCCCTTCTCCTCAGCCCTTGACGATCATTAATCTGTTTTCTGTCTGTATGGATTTGCCTATTCTGGACATTTCCTATATATAGACTCATAAAATACGAGGCCTGAGTGTCTGGTTTCTATCACTTAGCGTCATGTTTTCAAGGTTCAACCTTGTTGTAGCGTGCATCATTATTTCGTTCCTTTTTGTGGCTGAATAATATTCCATTGTACAGATATAACACATTTTGCCGATCCTTTCTTCCATCGATGGACTTTTGGGTTGGTGCCACTTTGGGGGCTATTATGAACAGTGTTGCTGTGAAGGTTCCTGTACAAGTTTCTGTGGGAACATATGTTTTCAACTCTCTTGGGTCTGTATCTAGGAGTGGAATTGCTGGGTCATAAGGTAATTCTGCTTCACGTCTGAGAAACTGCCAGACTGTTTTCCAGAGCAGCTGTACCATTTAACAATTCCACTAGCAAATGTGTGAGGGATCCAATTTCTCCACATGCTCACCAACATCTATTCTCCAGTAAAAAAAAATTAACACTATGTTCTGTTTAAAGCAGAAAAACAGGTAGCGAACCCACACACCCTGTTTTTCTTTTCTTTACTGTCTAATCCCATGAGCCCTGGCAAGATATCTATCCTCTTCATGTCCTAGAACTCTCTTCTGTACAATGACAGTGAGGATAATAATGCCTTCCTCAGATGGCTGCCAACAGGGCCTGATTTGTATAGATTGATAATTTATATAAAGCCTTAATACACTTAATACACACTCAATGTTTTATTCCTTTCTTTTTTTCACTTAGGAGTAGACCAGGCAAATTGTAAGCCCCACAAATATACTCTCCTGGGCTAGGGTGTCAAGGCAGAGGATCTTATAATAATAGACTTTGGAAGCGAAAACTTAAATAGAAGTGCAGGGCGTATTATCTGCCAACCTTTCTTAAACATCAGGCAAGTCTTAGTCTTTAGCTTTAACAGAGGTACTCAACTGAGCATTTGTCTTGACATAACAGAATGTACAGGGAACCACTGGCAGTCTCCAGCAGGCACACTCACCTAAAAAGACCAACAGTTGACCACATGAGTTCTACTTGCCAATCCTTCCCCTGTCCTCTGCCCAAACACACACTTCTGACGACGTCTAAGCCATAACCTGCGAAAGGCTTAGGCTTTACAGCCACTGTATGTAGTAGCTAAAGTGTGTCCTCCAAAGGAGACATGTTCCATGCCTGGTAGTTGTGAATGTGACCTTATTTAGAAATAGTGTCTTTATAGATGTGAACAAGTTAAATGAGGCCACACTAGATGAGAGTGGGCCCTAAATCTAATGACTAGAGTCCTTACAAGAAGATACAGAGAGACACAGAGGCACTGATGGACAGAGGGATAATGGCCATGTGAGGGAGGAAGCAGAGATTACAGTGATGCAACTCCAAGCCAAGGAATGCCAAGGACTGACAGCAATGGCCAGAGGCTTGAACGAAGCAAAGGCTTCTTCCCTGGGGCCTTCAGAAGGAGCATGGATGGATGCTTCAGTGGAGCACTGACAACACCTCAATTTTGAACTTCTAGCCTCCCAAACTACGACAGAATACATTTCTGTTGCTTTAATGCTCCTGGCTTGTGATCATTTGTTATGAGAGCCCTAGGAAACTAACAGAGCATATGATATTTCTGCATGAAACTGGGCCACTCAGTCAGGTTGAGATGTCAAGAGTATATCTACTGTATCCCAGTGACTAACAAAGACCTATGGACTCTGTAGTATATCTTAGTAACCTCAAGTCTTTCCTTTTGTCTGTCTCACTTGTTGACAATCTACTTTCTACCCAAATCTGGTGCTATACTGGTACTATGGCTCTCCCAAAGTCTTACCATCACTGAGTGGGATGCAGGGGGTGGTGGTTATGAGGAGGGATCAGGTAGGCCAGGGATAAGAACACAGTGCAGGAGAGGTCAAGGCCCCAGATCCATACCCCATCTGCAGTGCACCCTGACCCAGCCAGCATCTCACAGATACGGTGGGTCAGAGAGGAGGCTGGAAGCATATGCTCTTCTCAGCTGCAAAACTGCTGCAACACCAAATGCCAAGGAAAACATTAAAGGGCTTGGAAGTCAATTAAAACAAGAGGACCTTAAGGCTAATACTGACGAGCAATACCAGTGTCTGTTAAGTTGCAAAGGTCGTCTTTTCTAGGCTTCCTAAGTATCCTGTGACAGGCCTCATCTCTTCAGAGCACATGGCACAACTAAATGTCTGTCATTCCTTCTGGAGGACAGGGGCCGAGTCTGCTAGGTCAGTGTTACATCCCCAGGGTCTGGTCAGGGCCTGGCCTGCAGGAGGTGCTTGATAAGTATTGCTACATGAATGAATGAATGGAAGAGAGGAAGGCTGGTCCGGTTGTTTCTCTGGCACAAGCGTTCCTGGGTCTTGGGCAGCAACGGGCACAGGGCACACTCACTGTCAAAGAGGATGATTCTGCCGTCGCCACCACAGGGCTGAGTGTGATCCCCGAAGCAGACGCTGTTGCACTCGGTGCTGGCTGCCTCCCCGTACTTCCAGTAATCAGGATTATTTCCACAGAAGCAAGCATAGCCCGACTCCATCCCGGCAAACTGTCATAGCAGAGAAACAGCACTGGGTAAGTGTCAGTCTGGGGTGTCAGCTGCTCTGAAGGAGCTTGGCAGGGTCAGCCCCCAGCTGGGTCCCTCTTCCTGGGGTCTCTGCCTTGCTCCCCTCCCTGGACGCTCTTTACACACTATCAGTAACCATGTTTCCCCTTCAGGCGAGCATACCTTTTACTGCCTGCACCTCTACTGTGTTTAAGTGAGTTTGACGGCAGGCACTGGGGGGAAACCCACTAACTTGAAACATTAATAACAGCAGCTCTGCATTTTATTGAACGTTTACTGTGTTCCAGGCGGTAGGTGCTTTACGGCTAGTCCCCACCACAAACTCATTACAGGCCCCGTTAAAATTTTTCATTTATTACCATATGGTAGAACTATTTATATGGTATATAGTTCTATGCACTTCAACCCATGTTGACAACCACCCCTACGATCAGCATGCAGCTCAGGCACACGGCCCCAATAACCTTCCTATCCTGAACCTGCTTTATAGATCCCCCTCCATAAATAAACCTTCACAACTACCTATTGCTTTGCTGTTACTACGGTTTTGTTTTTTCAAAAATATCACATGCTAAGACTGAATGTTTATGTTCCCTCAAAAGCCGTATGTTGAAATCTTAACTCCCAGTGTGAGGGCATGTGGACGTGGAGTCTCTGGTGAATTAGGGCACTAGAACAGAGCCCTCATGAGTGGGATTAGTGCTCTTATAGAGGAGACCCCAGAGAGCTCCCTGGGCCCTTCTCTCATGTAAGGACACAGCAAGATGGCCATCTATGAACTAGGAGACATGTTCTCATTAAACACCCAATCTGCCAACAACCTTGATCTTATACTTCTAGGCCCCAGAACTGTGAGAAATAAACGTTTATTGACCTGATCTATGGTAATTTTGTTACTGCAGGCAGAATGGATGAAGGCATCATATAAATGGAATGATATAACATGTAAGCTTTTGAGACTGGCTTTCCACTTAGCGTAATGTCTTTGAGATTTATCCAAAGTGGTCCATGGATCAATAGTTCACTCCTTTTTATGGCTGAGTAGTAAGTCCATTGCACAGATATACCACTGTTTGTTAATCCATTAGGTTGTTTCTAGTTGTTTATGATTATGGATAGAGTTGTTATAAACATCTGTGTATAGCTTTCTGTGAGCATAAGCTTTCATTTCTCCAGAGTAAAAAACTGGGAATGGGGATGCTGGGTTATAAGGTAAGTTTATGGTTATACGAAACCACCAAACTGTTTTCCAGTGACTGTACCATTTTACATTCAAAACAACGTATGAGTCCCAGTTGTTCCATATCCTTGTCAACACACATTATTGTCAGTATATTTTATTTTAGCCATTCTAAGAGGTATGTAGTGGTATCTCATGATGGGTTTCATTTGCATTACCCTAGTGGTTAATGATACCGAATGTCTTCTCATGTGCTTATTTGTCATCTGTATAACCTCTTTGGTGAAGTATCAAGTCATTTGCCCATTTTTAAAAATTTGAGGTATTTTTTTAAAGAGTTTATTAGAGAGAGAGTGAGAGAGAGCGTGAGAGGGGAGAAACAGACTCCCTGCAGAGCTGGAAGCCTGATGCGGACTTGTTCGGGGACTCTGGGATCATGACTTGAGCCAAAGGCAGTCACTTAACCAACTGAGCCACCCAGGCACCCCATTTTTCAAATTAAAAAAAAAATTTTTTTTTAACTATTGAGTTTTTAGTTTTGTATGCAATCTGCATGTAAGTCCTTTGCTGCATATGCGATTACAAATATCCTCTTCTAGGCTATGGCCTGTCTTTTCATTCTTTAAAAAAATGTCTTTCACAGAGCAAAGGTTTTAAATTTTGGTGAAGCTCAATTACTAACTATTTCTTTTATGGATCATGCTTTTGATATTACTTACACCTAAGTACTTTCTATGTAAACCCAGGTAAACCTCGGTCACGAAGATTTTCTCCCCTCTTTTCCCCTAAAAGTTTTATAGTTTCACATTCTAGTTAGACCCAAGATCCATTTTGAGTTATGCATGTACTCTTTTGTGTTTGATTTCTTCCAATTAGCATAATGTTTTGGCCATTCATCCATGTTGTTGTGTTTATCAGTATGTTTTACTGTATCTTCTTTCTGTTGCTGAGTTGTGTTCAAAAGTATGGATGTGGGGCACCTGGGTGGCTTCAGCCCAGGTCATGATCCTGGGGTCCTGGGATCGAGCCCCACATCAGGCTCCCTGCTCAGTGGGAGTCTGCTTCTCCCTCTCCAGCAACCCCTGCTTGTGCTTGCACTCTCTCTCTCTGTCAAATAAATAAATAAAATCTTAAAAAAAAAAAAAAAAGCATTGCTATAGCACAATGTATTTATTTTTTCATCAGTTAATGGACACTGAGTTATTTACAGTTTGGGACTATTTTGAATAATGCCGCTATGAACACATACGCATACATTTCTGTGTGAACATACATATTCAACTCTCTTAGGTATATACTCAAGAGTGGAATTGCTGGTTTAAAAGGTTACGTTTAACTTTTTGAGAAACTGCCAAACTGTTTTCCATGACAGCTGTCTTAGCTGCTCCGTAGCACTATTTTACATTTCCACCAGCAAAGTATGAGGATTCCAATTTCTCCACATCTTCACCGATGCTTGTTTTATCTTTAAAAAAAATTTTTTTTTTACCTATAGCCATGGGTTATTTATTGTTGCGATATCTCATTATGGTTTTGATCTGCGTTTCCCTCAAGACTAATAATATGAGCATATTTCCATGTGCTTATTGGCCATTTGTGTGTCTTCCATAGAGAAATGACTACTCAACCCATTTGCCTATTTTTTAATTCAGTTGTCCTTTTATTGTCAAGTTGTAAGAGATCTTTATAGATTCTGGACATTAAATCCTTACTCAGATATAGGATTCATAAATATTTTCTCCTATTCTGTGAGTTATTTTTTCATTTTCTTCATAGTGTCCCTGTCACACAAAAGTTGAAAATTTATTTACTGGGTTGACGGGTAGTAAGTTTTGGCCCATGTACCACTGTTTGCTAACCCTGATATATGCAATTATTCTTAGGCCAATACCACTCTCTTGATTACTATAGCTTTACGGAAAGTCTTGAGATCAGGCAGGATGAGTCCTCCAGAGTTGATCTTTTTCAGAATTATTTTGGTTATTCTAGGTTCTCTGCTTTTCCATGTAACATTTAAGGATCAGCTTAACAATTAAAAAAAAAACTATCATTTTTGATTGGGATTGCAGTGAATCCATACATCAACCTGGGAAAAGCTGACATTTTAACAATATTAAGTCTTCCAATCCATGAACAATGCCTGCATTTTTTAAAAAGATTTATTTATTTGAGAGCGAAAGAGAGAGAGAGAGAGTGGTGGGGAGGGACAGAGAGAGAGAGAGAGAGAAAATCTCCAGCAGTCTCCCTGCTGAGTGAGGAGCCAAACGACCCTGAGATCATGACCTGAACCGAAATCAAGAGTTGGACACTTAACTGACTGAGCCACCCAGACACCCCACAATGTCTGTATTTCTACTTATTTAGATCTTAATTTTCTCTTGCAATGTTATACACTATTTGGGATATAGGTCTTTAATATCCTTTGTAATTCTGAGATTATTTATGCTGCTGTAAATGGAATTTAAAAATTTTATTTTCCAATTGTTCACTGCTAGTACGTAGAAATGCAACTGATTTTGTATATGACCTTATAACATGAAACCCTGATAAATTTACTTATTATTTTTATGTAGAACTGTCTACATACCTGACCGTGTTGTCCATAAATTAAGAAAAAAATTTCCTCTTTTCCAACCTACATGGCTTTCTTTTTCTTGCTTTATTTCATTAGTGAGGATCTCAAGTACAGTGCTGAATAGAAGAGGTGAGATTGGGCATCATTTGTGCTTAATTTTAAGCAGAAAGAACTGAACTTTCCACTATTGAATATGGCATTAGCTTTAGATTTTTTGATAGCTGCTCTTTCTTTTTAAAGATTTATTTTATTTTAGAGGGGGAGAGGGACAGAAGGAGACAGATGGACTCCCACGTAGGTGCGTATATGAGCAGTGGGGAGGGGTAGAGGGGAAGTGAGAAGAAGGCTCCCTTTTGAGCTCCATCTCAGGACCCTGGGACCATGACCTGAGCCAAAGGGGGACGCTTAACCATCTGACCCACCCAGGTGCCCCTATTGCTACCATTTTTTGTTTTAAAGCTCAAATTATGTTAGAGTTGGACAGTGGAGACCCTTCCAGTTGGTTCCTGTGTCCTTTTGACAGCCCTCACCATTCCTTACTTTATTGTACAACATGCTTCAGGCTCTTCTTGCACTTTCTTAGGATGGAGTCCTAATTCTTATTTAATGAAGAACAATATCTAGGGGTGCCTGGGGGGTTCAGTCAGTTAGGCATCTGCCTTCAGCTCAGGTCATGATCCCAGGGTCCTGGGATCAAGTCCAGCGTCAGGTTCCCTCCCTTGCTGAGCAGGGAGCCTGCTTCTCCCTCTCCCTCTGCCCCTCCCCTTGCTTGTGCTCTCTCTCTCACTGTCTCTCTCTGTCAAATAAACAAATACAATCTTAAAAAAAAAGTAAAAAAAGAACAATACCTAGAAACCAAGATCTGAGCACTAAGTGTGCTCTGTGGAACCACTGTGTCACTGTTCCCAGATCCTCTCAGTGGACAGAGATAAGAAATATATATGTATATACAAACACACACACGGACCTACAAACATGTTTATACTTATTTCCGCATCTGTCTCTCTATATATCAAAACCATATACTATATTAATAACTTCAATCCCTGCCTGATACTATAGGCTTCACTTCTCCAACAGTGAGAAATCTGGCTCCCATTATTCTCGGTATATTTACTTATATGCTCTGCAGGCAACCAGTCAGTCCATCGGGTTGGGCCACCGGCCTCACAAAGCCCCTGACCTTGCAGGCTACTCTCCTTGCTTGGGCCTGATTAATGGCTTTTTCACTGAATTATTAAGGAAGGACAAAAGAAAGGAAGGAAAAAGGAAGGAGGGAAGGAAGGAAGGATAGAGCAAACAATAGGATTATTGAACCTTAATAATCAAGGAGTAAATTGCAAATAGAGGAAAGGACAGAAAGAAAAGAAAGTATTTTGTCCAGGCTAGGGCCCCTAATGTAGTAAGGAAATAACCACTGCCTTGGCCTACTCCCAGATCCCCTGGGAAGCCAGAGATGTCCCTGCTCATAACGTTCAAGGGCACAAGGAAATACATAATTCTGTCAGAGGTCAAATAGGGATACAGATATTGGGGGATTTTCCTCTTTTCTCTCCCCATCTTTAGACAAGAACGCTGCCTCACACTCCTGAATGCCAAGCCCTGCTCTTCTTCCAGTTCCTCCTTGGCAGAAAAACAGTTCCATGGTTTGACAGGTTTAAAAAAAGTATATATATTTTTAAGTTATCTCGGCAGATTGCATTTACATCTTCATGCTTTTCTACAGATATAGATAGAGCCATAGAATCATTACCTTGAACCTCTGACTCCGACAAAAACTGATGCAGGTTTGTATGGTAAGTTTGTTAGATGTTTTACTGGCACCCGTTAGAGGAGGTGGGTTTCCATGATCCTTATAGCAGCCAAGGTTTCCAGGCACTGGAGGAAAAAGAAAAACAAAAGAATTTCACAACATCTGGCTGTGAAACACCAAGAAGAAACAGTGATTTGTGCCAGGTACTTTCATCTCAGCTAATATTTCCACTCTTTTTTTTTTTTTTAAAGATTTTATTTATTTATTTGACAGAGAGAGATCACAAGTAGGCAGAGAGGCAGGCAGAGAGAAAGGAAAGCAGGCTCCCCGCTGAGCAGAGAGACCGATGCGGGACTCGATCCCAGGACCCTGAGATCATGACCCGAGCCGAAGGCAGCGGCTTAACCCACTGAGCCACCCAGGCGCCCCTAATATTTCCACTCTTAAGGTACACATCAATAACAAGCAACAAGCTTTAAAAATGGAAGTCCTCTGGCAAATGCCATATTTCTGTTTTCTTCTGAAGAGTATGTGTGGCCCAAGGTCCACCTTTAACTAATCTGTTCAGTATTGACAGAATTGAGCATTAAAGAGAACTAGGAATCATTTCCTCAAAATAGAGAAGCTGCAATATGTAAATTATGTTTCAGAGTTGCTGGAGGGCAGGAAAAGCCCTAGGAAGCCTTTCATCCCATGCCTGTGCCCCCCCCCCATTAGTTGTTACTGTTTTTAAGATTTATTTATTTATTTTAGAGAAAGAGAAGGGGAGAGAGTGTGTGAGTGGCAGGAGGGGCAAAGGGAGAGGGAGACGTAGATGTAATAAGATAGTAAGTGGGTGTCATTTTAAGTAACCAAGTTCTAGGGTCATTTGTGGTATAGTAATGGAGAATTACTACATCTACATAATACATACTATATACACGTTGAATGAAGGAATGAGCTGATTGTAGGCCATGGACAAATCAACCTCTCTGGACCTTAGTTTTCCATCTTTGTTATTAATTTATGAATCACTTCACTATCAGATGAAGCCCTTTCCCCTACTTTATCTGCTTGGCTCCTCAGTTTATGTAACTGAAGATATTATTAATAAGACATGAATGAGTCTTTTCCTAGAAGCACTTCTAGGTCAGCTAAGAATTATACGTTATTCAATTCCAAGTGAGCCATACAGACCCCCAGAAAGCATTTCTTCTTTGTGTTTAAGACTAGAAAACAGAGGGGCACCAGGTGGCTCAGTTGGGTTAAGCGTCTGCCTTCAGCTTGGGTCGTGATCCCAGGGTTCTGGGATTCAGCCCGACTTTAGGCTCCCTGCTCAGTGGGAAGTCTGCTTCTCTCTCTCCATCTGCCTCTCCCCCAGCTTGTGGTCTCTCTCTCTCATTTGCCCACTCTCTCTCTCAAATAAATGAATAAAATCTTAAAAAAAAAACAAAACAAAACAAAAAAAACCCCTGGGAAACAGGGGTGCCTGGCTGGCTCGGTCAGTTGAATGTGTGACTCTTGATCTCAGGGTTGGGAGTTAGAGCCCCACACTGGGTGTTGTGATTACTTAAAAATAAAATTTTAAAAAAGACTAGAAAACAGCATGGTCCAATTTAACAAACTTTACATCCACATTAGCCTGTTGGCAGGTAAAAATATATGTGTGTCTCTGTGTGTAATTGCTGCTACCATCTAACATCTAACCAGTTCCTGTTAAATCAGCAGGAAGTACCACTGCTAACCCAAAGAGTCACCCTTCCCCCTCCAGCCAAGTGGTTACCCTTCTCCCTTGCGTCACACATGGTTCAAATATAACAAATGTGGCTCACCACACAAATGTTAAAATGCATCTTTTGGAAACAAACCAGATCTCTATAGTGGCGAATGTAAACAGAAAAACTCTAGGCAGTAGGAGGCTGGTGTTCAGTGGGAGCCTGGCTTGGGAATGGCTGGGTTTTAGAGTTTAAACAAATGCAGTGAGTTAAGCATCTCTAGTCAGGGACACATCCCACAAGCCGAGCTTGTTAAAGGGACCTTACGCACGGAAACCCGAACCATGCATTCAATGGTTCTTAATGAGAACTACTCGATCATCATCACCCTGGTCATTTACTCTGATTTTTGTCTCATTTATCCTATTACGATCAGAAGTAAGCATGTTATTGTGGATTAGTTTACAGAGAGCCCAAGGCACATAATCATAAATGTTAAGATTAGATATCAACAAGGTTACGGGTTGTACTAATGCAGCTGGAACTTATAAGCGTTATTTACAATTTGGTGAGCAAATCCAGGCAGCTCATGTTCCAGTGGGGTAGTGGGGTAGATCTCTGGAAGTCAGCACCTCCGACGCTGCAGCCCCATCCATCTGATATCAATGGCCTGAGGTATCATGCTTGTCTGGCCTGAGTCAGTTGCTTGCCAGACACCATCGAGTCTACCTCCCAAGATACTGCAGATGTTTGTCCGTGTCTCTGTCTCCACACTGCCATGTCCCTTCCCACTGAGACTACTGCCCTGGCCTGCTAGTCCATCTCCCTATTTCCAGGTGCACGCTACACTAATCTAGTTAGTACACTGCGACCAGAATAATCTTTACTGTTCCAGGCAGAAGGAAGGGCAAAGGCCTAAGGCTGAAATGAGGTTGGCCTTTGCAGGAACAAAAAGAAGTGAGGATAACCAACGGCAGAGAGAGGGAAAAATAGTAGGAACTGGAGGGGTAGGCAGGGGTCCTGCTTGCAACCTTCCAAGTCCCTCAGGATGAAGTCCCAACTCTCTCACATGGTACACAAGGCACTGCCTGATCTGCGCTGCTCGCTCCACTTCCCCTCCCCCTCCAGCATGACCTCTCTCTCTATAGCTCAGCTCATGTTCTAGATGAAAGCCAAATTAAGTGATAGTGTATTTGCGAGTTTCCCCATGACACATTGCTCTCCCGACTTCTGCGCATACTCTTTCCTTTGCTTGGAATACTCTCTCTGCTTAACATTGTAGCTTAAGCACTATTTCCCCTGGGGAAGCACCCTGCCCCCCCAAATAAGGTCATATGTCCCTGTTGTGGGCCTGTAGCAGCCTCAATTCTAAACACCTGCTCATGTGTCTCTCTCCCCAACGAACCATGTATGACTTAAGGGTAAGACTTTATCTTCCACACACTGTTGAATTCCCAGGGCCTGGTACAGTCCCAGTCATAGAGCCGGTGCCTTAAAACTGAATCCCAGATGCCCGGGCCTGTTCTGCACCACCTGCTGGAGTCACGGAGTGAGTGGGTGAAGGTAATTCTTCAGCAGCAGTGAAGGAACAGAGCAGGGGGCAAGTAAAAGGCAGAGCTGACCTGCGTGACAACACCCACTTAAAGCTAGTGAGCGCAGGGTCTGACTCCTGCCTGCATACCGTCCTCTCTGACTCTTCGAATCACCACTCAGGATAACTGAGTTCTCAAGAAAGGTTAACTTGAAAACTTAAAGTTTTATCCTCATCATTTAGGACAGAACCTTTCTAAAACATATTAGCTATTTCTTTTTTTTTTTTTTTAAACTTAACTCAGTTTAACCTACTTTATTTTTTAATTTTTAAAAAAGATTTTATTTATTTATTTATTTGAGAGAGAGGGAGGGAGAAACAGACTCCCCGCTGAGCAGGCAGCCCAATGTGGGACTCGATCCCAGGACCCGGGATCATGACCTGAGCTGAAGGCCAACACTTAACTGACTGAGCCACCCAGACACCCCTCAGTTTAACCTACTTTACGTTTCTCTTGGTGGCTTGAGGTTGTCAAATGTCCTTAACCCAGGCTGGTGTGCTTTTTTTGCGTGCTCGTGTCTGGCTTCAATAGTCAAGTCTGTGCCCTTGGTTACCGCCAAGGCTGCTGACTGCTCAGAACATTGGAACTGGAAGGAGTCTCAGGGAACCTCTACTTTGTGCTCCTGTGTGTGTGCATGTACCCTCGTCTTTATTTGCTGCTGCTTGTGCTTACAACAATACCGCCACGCTTATTAGAGTTGTGTGAAAAACAGAAACAGTTTCTAAAGGGGGAGATCTAGGCTCCCCACTTTCCGGCAATCATGCCACAGCTCAAGATTTGTTTCGCACGCTCCCACCCCAGGACACGGCGCTCCGCGGACGGGCACTGGCACGACTGCCATCGGCTCAGGAGCAGCGAGCGCCCTACAGCGGCCCCGAACGTGCGCTCCCGCGTCCCACAGACCTCAGCATGAGTTCTGGCCCCAGCTTCATCAATAGTAGAACGAGGAGCAACAGGGCCCCAAAGCGTTCTTTGGAGAATTGAAATGAGATCATGTAAATAAAGTAAAGACCACGAGGCCTGGAAGGATAACATGTGCCGAATAAACAGTGTTCATTCTCATTACAGTTGATCCTTGAACAACACGGGTTTGAAAAGCACGTGTCTATTTATGCGTGGATTTTTTACAGGATAGGACTGTGCATGTATTTCCTCTTCCTTATGATTTTCGTAATAACACTGTCTTTTTTCCAGCTTACTCTATTGTAAGAATACAGTATATAATACATGTAACGTACAAAGTCTGAGTTAACTGACCGCTCATGTGATCAGTAAGGCTTCTGGTCGACACCAGCCTCTTAGTAGTTAAGTTCTTGGAGAGTCAACAGTTATGTGCGGATGTCTGACTGGGCAGGGGGTCAGTGCCCCTAACCCCTGCGTTGTTGAAGGGCCAAGTGTATATATAAATAGGGCTTTCATCGTTCACCACACAAACAGAAACCACTTGCTCAGTAACAGAAAACTAAAATAGCATTGAGTTAAAAGGCAGCCACCTCAACAAACTGGGTTTCATTCCAGATATGAAAACATCGATCTCTTACAGCTGGTGAGCACACAGTACACTTTCCCATAAGCATCTCACGTGGAAATCAAAGCCCTCTGAGGGAGGCGGTATGGACAGGGTTATTCTATGTGACAGAGAAGAAATCACGGACTGGTGACGTTGTGGGCCTTCCACGGGGGCAGAGAAGATGGAACCAGAGGGCACAAGCAAGCTCTCGGGTGGTAGAGACTCACTCTGTGGTTTTGTTCCTTTTGCTCACGGGGCCGGTCTGGTGAACTGAATGGAAGTCAGATTAAAGACTGACTTCTCAAACACATCAGCCCCTCCACACTTGG